AGTCCAGCATCGCCTCCAGCAGCAGCCCGCTCTGCGATGCCAGGTGGGCGACGGGGTTCCCCAGTTACATGGGACCTGTTCTGTGGGCCTGAACCCGAGAAGCGGGAATGACAGATGCATGAGCATCAGGTCTTAATGGGGAGTTATTCATACTTTTCCTTACAAAGTCTTGCCTGTAACGGGATGGTGGTGAGCGCAGCCCTGCCGCTTGCCCTGCAGGGGCCACTTTGTATCTGGGCTGCAGTCCCTGCTGCTGGGCCCCGTTTTGGGGGGGGGGGGCGTGTGTGTGAGGGTTTCGGCGCCACCTGACCAGCCTGCGCTCCCCGCAGTTTCAGCGCCCCCAAGTGTGGCCGCGGCAAGCCTGCCCTGGTGCGCAGGCACACGCTGGAGGACCGCAGCGAGCTGATCTCCTGCATCGAGAACGGAAACTACGCCAAGGCAGCCAGGATCGCAGCCGGTGAGTGCAGCCCAGGCCCCTTTGTGCGTCCCTCTGGCCAGGAGTAAAGGCAGCACGTTGGGTGTGCCCCGTGGACACTGCCTCCCGCCTCAGGGGGGACTTCTGCACCCTGGCCTCTCCCGGAAGGCGGGTGCTGAGCCACAGACAGGCCTGCGGGCGGCGGGGGGAAGCGATGCGTTTGTCCTGCGTGTCGCCTTGTGTGGGTGCTCGGCCCCAAGTGGTTCCTGTCAGACCCTGTGAGGCTGACAGGCTTTGTTTAGGCTCATGTGTGATCTGCAGCCAATTGTGAGACTACGGGGCGGGGTGGGGGTCCCCCAGCTTTCAGTATGTAGAGGAGGCTCGGGGTCAGGTGGGAGCAGTGAGCTGTGTTGGGATGGAGACTGCATTGGAAATGTGGGTGGAGATGAGTGGCCCAGCCAGGAGGGGTCTGAGCAGAGCAGCCAGTCAGCCCTGGGCTGCGTGGAGAGGGGGCTGGGGACTAGCGGGACCTTGGGCACCAGGATGTGGGTGTGGACTCCAGGGAGGTTCTGAGGGTCAGACAAGGCTCCCTGCTGGTTGAGGGTGTGAGGAGGGATGGGGAGGGAGCCAGGGCTGTGGTTTTGAACTTAGGGTGTTGGTTCCAGAGGTGCCCTGGGACCTCCCGGGAGGTGGACACAAGGGCGGAGGTGGGGGCTCAGGAGGGAGAGATGTTGGGAGCCTGGAGGTCGGAGCCCTCAAGTAGGGTTGGGGTGCGTGGAAACCCCGGCCTAGACTGCGGGTAACAGTGTTGGTGCCGGGGCCTCAGACACGCTCAGCCAGGGCGGGTGCCCTGTGCCCACCGTTCCGGGGGGTGTCTCTGCTCGGGGTCGGCGTGCACCCTGCTGGGTGCCTGGGGGCTCACCCCTCGCTCCTTCTCTCTCTAGAAGTGGGTCAGAGCAGCATGTGGATCTCAACGGACGCCGCGGCCTCCGCGCTCGAGCCCCTGAAGGTGGTGTGTGCTCGGTGTGACCCCCGTGTCCCCCCGGCAGATCATCGACCCTAAGATGCCGCGCGTGCCAGGGCACCACAACGGGGTCACCATCCCGGCCCCGCCGCTGGACGTGCTGAAGATCGGCGAGCACATGCAGACCAAGGCGGACGAGCGGCTGTTCCTCGTCCTCTTTTTCGACAACAAGCGGAGCTGGTAAGTCCCCGGCACCTGGGAGCACGGAGGCTGGGAGCGGCCAGGCCTCCGTTTCTTACCTGTGGGCCCACCCAGTCCTCCCTGCCCTCAGGTGGGCCCTGGCCCTGGGCATTCTGCCCGGGGACACCGCCTTGGCCCCTCTGAGCGCGGACGGAAGCTCGCGGTGCTGCCGGCAGCTCCCGGGCAACAGCAGAGTTCTCCGACCTCAGCACTGCAGCCCCTCTGCCCGCAGCTGCTGTTGTGGCGCCCGCCTGGGGGGTGCAGAGCCTGCTGGCACCTGGGGGCTGTAGCTGGGGCACCCACCAGCATTGGCATGTTCGGCTGGATTGGGTTTGGGTGACGTGCTGGTGGCCCTGGGTGGCCACTGGGGAAAGACGTGGAAGGCTGACGGGGCCTCCAGGACACAGGGGCCTCTTGGGAATCATGGAG